CACCCTCGGACGCCTCGCGCGCCTGCCACATGGCGCTCTTCATACTTTTGCGCTGGCTTTGCCACGCTTATGTCCGCTGCTCGCGGAAGAAGGCTCCCCTTCCTCCGGTCACCTTGGTCGGCAAGCCACCGCTCCCGAGTGAGAAGGAGCTTCCCGCCAAGGGTGATGGGCCCCGAGAGGGATCAGGGCTCATCGCTGTCGACGACCTTGAGGCGACCTATCTTCTCCTTGATCGACATCGTGGAGAGATCTAGCAGAGACTCGATCGAGCGAGCCATCTGCTTGTACTTCTCGGGGACGCAGCAGAAGAGCTTTTCGACGACTCTCTCTCGCCAGTAGGTGTCGCCGCCGAATCGCACCATCTTTTGCAATAGAGTGTTGAGATGGAGAGCAAAGTCATCAACGCCCTCACCGGCTTGAAGGCTGTGTTCTCCCACTCCTGCGAAGTGCGCTGTAGTGTGGACTTGTGGGCGCGGCGGCCGCCGCTGCCGCGTGCTTGCAGCCGATGGCGCCCCAAAGCCTCCTTGGCAATCCGCTTATTTGGTAAGCGAAGAATCGCATCTCGGGCGGGATCTGCAGCGATGCGATCATCCAAAGACCCGTCGATCTAGGTCGTAGTCAACGTCGCCGTACCGGACTGCCTCCCACATGTGCCGCATCTGGAGCTTTACCCTCATCACCGCAGCCCACTCGACGTAGTTGGTCTTGGTGAGGGTAGGCCACCCACCGTCGGGACCGACGTCCCTGACAACAGCCTGGAGCCCGTGGTAACCACGGTACCGATCCGGGGAGAGAGAGCCACGCTGCCTGTGAAGGCCACGCTCTCCATCGACCCGTCGGTACCGATCCGGGGAGGGAGAGCCACGCTGCCTGTGAAGGTCGCGCTCTCCATTGACCCGTCCACCACCGTTGCCGTGCGTGCCTCCTCCAGGAGCGTCACCGGCGCGTCCGCGCCTGTCTGGGCTGCCGCCACGCTCGTGGGCGTGCGCGGCTGCCCACTGCGCCGCCCGCGCTCGCGCTGCCTCCCTTTCTAGCAGCTCAAGGTCCGCGTCGGCGGTGTCGTCAGCAGAAATGGAGCTGCCGATCTTTGCCGCAGAGCCTCGACCTCATTGCCGCCAGACGCGCGCCGCATTCGCCGCCGTCGCCGCCTCCGCTTTGCTTTGCTGCCACCCCGCCACTGCCAAACCGACCTCGATGCCCTTGCCCCGCCAAGAAGCCGCTCTTCGCCGCTTCGCCACGTTCTCTGCTGCAGCAAGTTCGGCCTCCCGCCGACGCCAGTGTGCTCGAGGCGACTGAAGGCCGAGATCGCCTCATGGACATGACGCGCTACCGGGGGACTGCTGCGTGGGGAGAGGGCTGCTTCAGACGAGCTGCTGCTTGTCTGCGCGGGGGAGGAGTGAGCAGGAGCGGCCGGAGCTGTTGCTCGCAGCTAGGGCTGTTGTGTGGCTGGGAGGGGAGATAAGCAGGAGATGCTCAGGCTACAGGATAATACGGCTCCGATATCAGTTGTTAGTCGCTGAATTCTCACTCTTGGTAGTAGGAGAATTCTTACTCTCATCGAGAGAGGATGACACTAGAAGTTGAGGTAATTTTCTTGTCTATTTCTCACACAAACTCATACAAATGCCATACCAACCTGAGGGGTTGGGGTTACATATTTATAGGCTGCTAGCCAGCCAAGCATATGCCAAGATACTAGTCTAAGATGCTAATATGCTGTCCTAGCTAAGATGCTGTCCTCTAAGATGCTGTCCTCTAGTCTAAGATGCTGTCCTAAAAATAGAAAAACAGCCACAAGGACCATATGAGTAGCACAGTCCCACAAAGACCAGCCACGCATTAGACTTATCCATCACACGTACCCTCTGTTTTTGGTTCGTCGACTGTTTGTTATTTTTAAGATTGAATATGTTGAACTGTCTCGGCAATTTATGCGGTTGAATAGGTATTCGTACAAGAACATATTTTAGCTCTTGCTGACTCTGTTCAATCGTTTCATACTTTGAAATTTGCTGTTGCTCCTATCGTGTTGGTTTTATGGTTCCTGCTTCATTTGGGTTATAAAAAGTTGGCAACTTGGCAAAGGATAGGAAAACTAACGTCTGCATACTTCCTCGTAGGCCGTAACGTCAGTTCACTTTCACCATAATGCGATCTGAGAAATGGCATCAGGAGCCGTCGCGTCGTTGCGTTTAGGTTACTGTCAGTTTGATTTTGATCTGCCAATTACGGTGGCCGGCAAGAGATGCTGGCACAGTACCAGTGACATGGCAAGAGGTTAAGGGGCAGCCGGGCAGGTGTCATGAAGTTCTTCACACAAACAAATGCACTGAAGACTTATTTCTTCCTACGTGTCGATCGTATGGTACCATTAACACTTGTTTGGTTACATCTTGTTGCACGCTTGCATCCCTGATCCCTCTCCAGTTTTCTGACCGACAGCCCTGTTTAGGATGATGGTCCTTGGGACAGTCACAATCTGAGAATGTCTGACGAAGCACCTATTAGGGTACTGCTACTGCACGGTTCACTGCACGACTGTTCACTCAGCAGCAACAGCTGAAGCATTGCCTGGTGCTGTGGTGCAGTAGCAGCACACATCATGGCAAAAGTCCTGGGGGTTTCCATCCAGTGTATCTGTCTGACGGTCCAGATCAATTGCGCTATCAGATGGAGCAGGTAAAATAACTAAATATGCCTCCCTCTTTTTCCCACTTCGTTCAATAGGCGCGAGACAAGGAAGCTTTGAGTGAAATGACACATGGCTTATGATTTGTTAATGATGCATGGCGGCATCTGTGCGCGGTTATTCTCGAGACCTTGATCATGTTTTTATCATTGCATTGCATTTTTAGTTAGTATCTTTAATGCGTTTGATCCCTTTGGAATCACGCGAAAACTAGAGGTCGTCGCGGTCCATAGCCGTCGGCCTTGGAAGTCCTGCGTATTGACATTTTTGCTGGCTATTTAAAGTATCTTTTGCAATCGATTACCTACCCCCATGAGTCATCCGTCAGGTCCGTCTGTGAAAGCAAACTGTTTTGCAATATCCTTTTTTTTCATTGAGCATATCTAGTTGCTTCCACTAGAAATTCATGGAAAACTGGAGGACAGCAAATGCTACTAGGGTTGAACTGAGGCCGCTGGATCGCAACGTCAGCTAGCCGTGGTTGGTAAACGTTCAACTCATCACGGCATAGTTTATATCGTCTCAACGCTGTTGCCGCCGGATCTTCCTCCATCTGACGCCGATTGATACTCCAAACAGCACGTTTGTTTGGTTGGGCTTGTTTCGTTGCTGGATCATAGAGAAGTATTGTTGGCTGGTTTGGTGTGAGAAAAAAATACTGTTCCGACTGAAAATTTACGATCGTTTACGACAGGCACAAGCCAACCGAACGTACTGCAAGCTGTGTGTGTTTTCATCGTACCATCATACCATACCACCTTGACTGTCGTTGTAATTAATAATGCGTCCTTAATGATGCTGATGGATTAGTAGTCCCTGAGACTGTTTCTGCGACGGTGGGCCCACCCGGTTGCGAAAAAAAAAACGAACGTAGCACGTCTCGATGCCATGGATCATCAGTCACCATTGCCGCCCGGATTTACTTACCTGCTTGACAACACGCCACAAGTGAGTAAATCATCGATTAACCTAGAGAAAATCTCTTATTTAGCATCAGCATATGACATGATTCATTATTTAGCATCGAAAGATAACATCTTCTCAATATAGCATTAGGTTTATTTTTGGTTCCCTATATAGCACTGCCGTTAGATGTGGCCTCTAACACCGTCAACTATGAGGGAAAAAGATCATTTTACCCTTGTTTTCATGTGCATCCACATCACTATGTTAACAATTAAATTTTATTGCACATATTTTTTTTGACAATATCATTTCGTTACAAAATTAAACATTTTTTGACAATACAATTTTTTGGACCATGTATATTTTTTGGCAGTACAGTTTTTTTTACAGATTATTTATGAAAATTCTTGATGTAGGTTGGTACGGTAAAAAATTATTATCCACTAAATTGTACAGCCATAAATAATATATGCACAAAAAATGTACTGCCAAAAAGTATTCGTGGATCAAAAAGGTTGTATTTAAAAAAATGTGCAATAAAATATCATTGTTAACATGTTGATGGTGTTACAGATGAGACATGGGTAAAATGGTCTTTTCCTCTTATAGTTGATGGTGTTAGAGGCCACATCTAACGGTAGTGTTATATAGGGAACAAAAAATAAACACAATGTTATATTGAGAAGATTTTATCTTTAAGTGCTAAATAAAGAACCATGTCATATTCGAATGCTAAATAGGGAGTTTTCTCATTAACCTATGACTCTTAGGTCTAGTTGAGGGTAGAAATTCATCGTAGCTTACACATCACTTGCTTGGATTTTGCTCTGGAATTCCTACAAGATCATTATCTGGACAATGGGCCTAGTTGAACCTAGTTTATCATTTGAATGATTGAACAATTAACCGCTCAACAACTACCTTGTCATTTTATGGCGATGGCATTGGACGCTTTTGACTGGTGTGTTTTGGTTTTCTAGATGCGTGCCACGGAAACAGGGGGAGAGATGGTATATTAAAATAAAAGTGGAAGAAAGTTATTATGAAAATGTCACAAAGGAAAAATGTTCTGAGAAATGTTTTTTTTGAAGAGGAGAAAATGTTATTTATCAACCCGTTCGCTTCGCTGAAAAAACATGCCAAAACACTGTTCCGGCTGATTTGTTGTGAGAGAAAAATACTGTTTCGACTGAAAAAACAAACTGAAAATTACGAATTATAAGAGAAGTGGGCTGCAATCACTGCCTCTTGATGCGCTACAAAGTTCCCGACAAGCGTAAAGACAGAAAAGCAAATATGAGTGTGTTTGGTTGAGTGGCTTAGTCTTTAGCTAGACTTTTCTAGATGCACCATGTATATGTTTGGTTGCCTGTTTTTTACTCCAAATCTGCCTTAGGTAATACAACTAGAGCCCCTTAGCCAGTCTTGCTGGAAACACCGGACGTGGTCGTTCCCACGAAGCCAGGCTCCGTCCAGCCTTTCTCCCGTATCGGTTCACCTCCCCCACCCCCGCGGCCACCTCCGCCTCTGCCTCACCCTCGCCGGAGACGAGGGGGAGCTCTCCCGTCCGCGTCCGCCTCACCCTCGCGCTGCTCCCAGCCGCCGCCATGGCAAGCAGCAGCAGCAACCGAGAGCACGAGCTAACACGAGCTCGCCAGCGATGTCTCCAGCAGGGCGCGCGTGGAGGTGCTCGCCAGCGAGGTCTCCAGTAGGGGCGGAGATGCTCGACGCGGTCAGGGGCGAGGTCTCCGGCAGGGGCGGAGATGCTCGCCGCGGTCTCCGGCGAGGGCTCCGGCAAGGCGCGCGTGGAGGTGCTCGCCAGCGAGGTCTCCAGTAGGGGCGGAGATGCTCGATGCGGTCAGGGGCGGAGGACGACGTTGTGGCCACGGGGACGGTAGAGGTGCTCGCTACATCCAGAAGGCGGAGGTGCCCGTTACATGTTCGACAAAATGCCTCAACGAGGTAACCTTACCTGAATGAGGATGAGGCGATTGTATCTGAGCTAACCAGGCAACCAAACATGATCTGGGCAAGCCAGGCTTAGCTAAGACAAGTAAACCAAACAACTCTTTCTTGTATTGGGAGAGCCAGGCTTGTGCTGCGCTGGCTTAGTTGGCTAGCCAGGCCAAGACTAAAACGCGAACCAAACACACCCTATGTACCCATCTTTATCTTGCTCAATAAAGTTAACAAATAAGAAAATCAAAAAGAAAGAAAGAAAAAAAGGGTGTCACGCCCTGCTGGCACTGGTGTTAGGGAAATTGAATCAAAAGATGATATCACTGACCGCAATGCATGCAGGAAAAGGGATGAGTATGCAAATGTTCTTTATATTCACATGAAGACGTTTGGTGTTAACTCACTCACAGCAAGTGTATATATAGATTGGGAATGTTTAGGTTTATATGTTATTGATATCTAGTTACATGCATGAGTGGAAAAAAACTATATTTGTCCTGTCTTTGTGTCTATATATATCATGCATGTCTCACAAAGAAATGGAACGCCTGCATCCTATCTGGACTGGAATTTTTCCATGTCAACAGAAGGAGAAACCCGAAATATACAAGTGCATATGAGAGTTGTTTGGTTCTTGCTAGCTCTTCAAATGGTAGTTCTACTCTCCAAATTTATCTTCCCTGTGTGACTCTGAAATAGAAGTTTGCACACTTTTAGTTAAAGAATATTTCTGTGTATCCTTTTTTACGTGCTTATTTTTTTAGGGTATTAATTTCAGCCTTTTTCAGGTCACTGTATTCAGAGAATTATTAATCGATGCTTCAGTTTAGTCATTGTCAGTTGATAATACTCCTAAGTACTAACTCAATTTACTAGTTGATTCATAGTTTTAACTAGCATTATGGTGTGTGTTAACTTGAGGTGGCTTATTTACATGCCAACATAGATTGGAACCTATATAAAAGAGGAAGAAGATAACAATGGAGAGCCTCAAAATAAACCTTTAAGTATATAGGTTATCTGCCATATCTTATATTATTTAGTTTTTGTTACTTGCATTGCATCGTATCGATTTTATTTTCCCAAAACAGCTTAAAACTGATGTCCAAGTCCACAGTTTTTAACAAGACAATTTGGGTGGTCTGTAGCATTGTACTGGGTTGCTCATCTTCTGTTTGATTTATTAATATATACACTTGTTTTTCCTACTCCAAGTGGGAGGAAGTTGCAGTTGGAAGAAGCCGACAATATATATAATCAGTATATATCAACCAACCTTGGTGATGAAAATCTCGAATCATAGGGGTTGTCTAGCTTAGGTTACTAGCTACGTATAATACTGGAACTGGAGGTTATTAACAGCTAGCAAAGTTGAAGTTGTTGGCGTTTAAGTTTCAGCTAAATGTCTCGTACTATATATATTAAAGTAAATAATTACATTGCCGGCTCCATAAAAAAATAATTACAAGTATATTGAAAAGGAATACACCAAGTGTAGTGTACGACAAGACCCATCTATTACTCTTCAATATCCTTGAGTGTTATGAATGGGTTGTACTAGTACAATTCCAGTTGGACGCTAGGCAAAACACTAGCAGATCGACGTCAATAGGAGCCGTCTCCTCAAATTAACCTGATGGGTGACCTTGACATGATGTGCAAGGATTAGCGTTGCCAATCTTTTCAGAGATTGGCCTTCAACTAAATTAATCAAACCATTGTCCTTGTTTACCCTTAAACCAGCAGGCCATCGTCAGCGGTGTGTGTGTGTGTGTGGATACAGAGCCTGTTCGCTTGCTCGTATCTTGCTTATAAGCCATGGCTTATCAGCCAACGAACAGTATTTCTCTTTCACACCAAATCAGCCAACAGTACTTTCAGCCATGGTTTATAAGCCAAACCAGTCCAAACGAAGAGGGCGACAAATGCCAACCAACTTCCTCGCAAGAAAAGTCATAGAATGCCTCAAGTTGAGTAGGCTACTATTCTCCGCTTTACTAAGGAACCATGGGATTCTCGGGACTAATCTTTAGATGCTTATAAGAATCTACGATACGCGAACTCTTTTTTTTTCATTTGGAAATAAACGGATCAACACATTCTCTTTTTTTTCAAAGCACTTAGAATCGTTTCGATTTACAAAATAACAAAATGCAACATGTGAGTGAGGTAGTCCAAATATTCCAAATGCACAATCCCTTTCAAAGTGATGCTCAGAGCATTGGTCGTCCTTATCTCATTTTGTAAGTGGGGCCTACCTACACGTATGCTTTCACCTACTGACATTTTATACAAAATGTGTACTTAGCTCCATCTTAGAGAGAGAGAGAGAGAGAGAGAGAGAGAGAGAGAGAGAGAGAATAAATTGAGGACGCAAAACAAGCTCAACACAAACCACACTCACGGCACCACCACGCGTGCACACAGGCATGTACGTCTCCTACGCACGCTACAAATTAACTGAAAGGATATAAGGCCTCACGCTTGTACACACTTCACCATTGAAAAATGAAAATGCACATGCGCGCGTGTGTACTCCTAAATTAGCACTAGACACTAGGCACAACACAAGCACCGATCGAGTCTAATATAAGAAGAAGTGAAGAACCCTAGTAAAGCTGTTGCACGCCCACAGCACTACCCCTGTCACCGTAGCATTTGGCTATAGGCACTCTGAACCAAAGAGATCAGCCTAAGCAAAAGAACAGAAGAATAGCGTATATATACTTCTACTCCGTGTATATGGCTATGCCCAAACAAAGATAACGCGCAGCAGGGATCACTATAGTGCACGGGCTTTCTCCAGATTCGTGCCCAACAATTGGATCCCCCGTCACAGTCCGTCCGGTTCTTCAGCAGCAGCTTCTAGAAGAAGCCTGTCATCAATTCGCCCGCCATCCTCAATTTGCAGCGGTGTTAGTTGCCGCATCAGTCAGTCACTCAGTCTCATTAATTTTATAACGACACCGATTAAGTACTGGTCAGCTGTGTATAGTATTTGGTTTGGAGCTATGCCATTAGCGTCTAGTGAAGTGACACCTGCGGCTGCAGAATAATTTGGGCGCCTTGTCGATCGTCCCCGGCCGGACGGTTAATCTGCGTCTGGAGAAGAGAACTGGGTACAAGCTTTGCTGATGCCATTCTGCTGACACCTGACAGGATCTCAGATCAGGCACCAGCCATATATTGTATGTGATGTGATATGTACATGCCCCTTGCAGTGCCGGCCTGTCGATCCCAGGGACAGGGAAGTGAAACCATGCTTGCATATCAGTGCAGTGATGAGCACAGGCCAATAAGCTAGGCTTACTGTAGGTCCTAGACTATAGACACGTACGTCTCAGAGAAGATCCGGAGTAATAAAATTGGTCTTCAAAGATCCGGACGGCTGGCAAATCAAGCTGTCCGTGTGGCTAGGTTGCATGGCGATTCTAGTTGGGTCACCGGAAGCTAGCGCGTGATCGATCTCTCTCGTTTCACCTGCCTGCTGTACGCGCGCAACGGACTTCCCGGACCATGTGCTATCCATTTGCTTGGGCCGTCGTCGCTATCGGATTAGTTGGAAACCTGCAGCTGCAGCGTGTGCTTTGTACACTTGTACTGCAGAAGTACTTGCCTAGTTGCCTGTGTGAATGAAGCTGCAGATGGAACGGACGGGCCTGGGGCGGCGACCGTGTAGGCTGCGGCTGCCTAGCTTCCGTGTCCATCGTTTGCATTTAGAGTCCTAGCACCATCCATACTCATCTCTCTATATTGCACTCTCGAGTCTCGATCTCCCCAAATTAAAAGAAAGAAATTAGCCAAAGTACATACATATATACTTCTAGCTAGCTAGAATGTAAACCACTAGAGCATGCATGGTGTTTATTTAGATCTAGCTAGCCTTGACAACCATTGCGTATTATCAAAAGACTCTCAGATCCGAACTCGTCGATGGTACATTGTTCCCATCAAGTTGCACATTGATTACTAGTACTACTTATTAAAACAAAATTAAACTAATAAGTGAAAGACAGTGCAGTGGAACTGTGCAAGTGGAAGACCTACCCCAAGTCCCCAAATGCGTGTATCACCAACTAGCTATGCACATTTTTCTGCAGGCAAATAAAAGAGCTAGCCACTACAACAAGGCTAGACTTTGACTTCAAGGTAAGACCAGGATACCATACCGTACCGCTGCTGCTATTGGGCCTTGCAAGTTGCAAGATTTTGGGCCACGCATCATCGTCATCGTCTCCATGGTCTCCGACGTGCTGCTCCCGGTATTTCGCAGCCGTGGTAGTAGTGCAGTAGTGCTCTATCACTTTCACCTACTATTTCCTTTTTCTAGTAGCATGCAATCTTCTAGTCAGTATATATACTAGTACATTTTTTCTTGACTCGTTAGTGACGTTAAACTGCATCTACTCTATAACTAAGCATAACTATCATGTACGTCTAGCTTGATTATTAGCTCCCAAAAGTTGTGTGATTTGTATACACTTATGAGGCGGCCGGATTCTCCTTGTATGTGACCGAGTAAGGCCTCGTCAGTTCCGTGGGAACAATTCCCAGCCAAACTGCATGGCTAATTATATAATCTTTCATCAGCCGGAACGATTCGTGGATGGATTTTGGGCTAACCGAACGAGCCATTAGGATGGGCCAGGC